GGAAGGAAGGAAGGAAGGAAGGAAGGAAGGAAGGAAGGAAGGAAGGAAGGAAGGGCTCATTTAGCCTCCATGTGATGTCTAGAAAGTTTCATTACCAGTGATAGTTCAGCTAAAAAACATCTGACCCAAATCAGTTTATGCAGCTATTTGGTCCTCTCTTCACTTTAAAAATAAATCCTCAAACCCCAGCTGGATAAGCTTGCATGGCAAGGGAGATTTAATCCATACCAAGATTTTGGTCAGATATTTTTCAAACACTGGCATAAATTTTTAATTTGGACTTTGATATCCAAACAGGCCCAGCTGTAGTCCTCCTGGGGATCCTTCCAGAGGCTTGGACTTTGAACAGGCTCTGCAGCAAACAGCAAAGACTACTGAGAATTCTGACGGCTGCTGCTGAACTACCAAGCCCTACAATAAACTGGAAATCAACACATCCTGTCACTTGGAGGGACGGTTTAAAAAGAACCTCTCAAAGGAGAGCAAATGGAAAGTACATAGAGGCAGGAAATACTGGTGCATTTGCGTCTCCATCTGGGAAATATTCTAGGAATGTTCTCAGTAACACAGGATTAACACCTTGAAATGAGAAAAGCAAATAAACACAACTGGATATGGTTTCATTATTTGCTAAGTTCTGGTTTGATTTTCTTTTCATATTGCATATACTATGTGCCCTTTTTTTCTAGATGTGGCCCTAGATAACTATGTGTTAAATCTTTGTATTCTGACCAATAAAAAAAACCTAAAAACTGATTCTTCTTTTCTGATAGGAAATCTAAATTTTCTCATGTCTTCCAAAATGTCACTTCAGTGCAGTCTGTGGCTAGCTGCTCTTTTGTGAGAGCAGCAAGTCAAGAACTTGCAACATCTAACATAAAAGACATTTTCCTACTGCTTTGGATCCAATACCCATTAGAAATTCCAGGTTTTGATATGCTAATATCTGATCTTACCAGCCCAAATTAATGCAACAGATACAATCCTTGCACCATCATTATAGTAAGTTCAGCACAACCTAGCTGATCTTAAAGTTCCATTGGAAAGCTGCACTTTGGATAAATAGGAAGATCAATGTAATTTCACCTTTATTAATTAAGAATATTTTAGCCACTTAGGCTTGAATCAGGAAAATTTGACAGTTCTATAGCTGCCCAAAACTGAACATCTCTGGATAAGTATATGCTTATCATTCACTGTCACTTCTAGAAGATGGCAGACTCTTCTTCCTATTAAGGTCCTGATGAATGTGTGTCCTTTGGATTGATTGTCATGTTTAATTCCTCCCAAAACAGAAAGGTGTTTTCCTAATAGTAAATCTATAATCCACCATGGAAACATAATGTCACTGTGAATACAGCGAGAGATATCATAAGACAGAATGGAAACATGCTAGGAAAATTACCTCAGAAGGTGGTCCACCATCTTTTTTTCTGCTATTCCTGACTTTAGCCAACCATTACATGTGTTGTATTTCTTGAACACCAAATTCACTGAAAAAAAAAGAAAATTAAATTGAAGATGTCAGCTACCAAAAAAAAAAAAAAAAAAATCATTTTACCAATAGGCTGCCAGATGGGGAAGAGCATTTGTTTTTAAAGACTCTGGCAATAACGAAAGGAACTAGAATCACTGGAGAATTAAATTCTTGTTGCCACTGATTAATATACTGTCAGCTTCTCCAGCAAAAAGACAACATATATAATTCTGAGAAGGGACATAATTTGCTGCGTAGGCCTTCTTGCTAAAATTGTTGTGTTCTGCTTATGTGAGCTCTTATCTCCAGAAGCTGGACTGTGTCCATCAGCTCACTTCAGGGGTTCTGAAACAACAAGATATATAAAAACTCTTGGTTTGAACTTATCTGAGGAGCAAAAGGTTTTCTTGCTTGTGATGGTCTACTGATTGCCTGTATTTTTGATACTTGAGTTGGAAAAACACAGCCTCAAACCAATCTAAGTCATTTGAGTTTAAACTCTCCTTCCTCACCAGCTACCTTTCATTGAAAATCTTGATTTTTCTCATGAATCTACAGTGAAGAGAAAAAATGTCAGGTCTGTATAGCACAGGAAATTCCCTTGAAACAAGCCAAAGTTCTTCAAAATCTTGTAATGTGAAGAGGGCCAAGAAACTACTGTAAATGGTAATCCGGCTCTGCAAAGTAGCTGACTTTATGCAAAGCAGGCAAGTGCAGTCAAAACACTTACAGTAATCAATTGAAGTTGTTGGGTAAAGTTTTTTCCATGTCCCATAAATTATTGAACAGTTAATTTCGTCTTTGTGCCTGCAAGACATTCTAGCTTTAGGATGACAGCTTTATCCATTAAAGGGAGTGTGGTGACAGCAGTACAGAGAGTGCTGAGAATGCAGGGAGAGAAGGCCCATTCTCAGCTGCATTACCACTGAACAATGCTGGGATACGTCAACATCTTAATCAATATGTGAGAGTCAATTAATGGGGAAGCGAGCACATGGCTTAAGCAGGATCTCATTATTAAGTTCGTGTTTCGTCCACCAAATAGGTGAAATCAATATAAAGCTGAGTATAATATAGTAAATACATAACCATCCACTCTTACCCAGCCTTTCTTCCCTCCTTATTCCCTCCTGGGCCAGATTCATGCATGCCTCTTCTCTCTTTTATATTGCAAGGGCAGCTATTGAGGCAGACAGCAAAACTGACAGAAGTTGAACAGATTGCAAAGGCCCAAATTCTGTCTTGAGAGGCAAGGAGAAAGCCCCTCTGTGGCTCCAGAGGTATCCCTTTGAAAGAAAAGGTGTCATCCTTTAGAAACCTGCGCTTCTGTTTTCCTCCCTGTTGAAGGTTTCAGCAGATCAATGCTCTTACTGAGTCCTGGAAATGCAAGCAGTAGAGAAAACTATTTTTTTACAGAAGGGACTTAGGATGCTCTCTGGGTCACTTGCCATCTAGATTTATATTCTAGGCAGTTCCATAGTTTTGAAAAAGAGATCAGGATGCATGAATGAAGCAAGCATATAAATGGCTGACTTAATATCTTCATAGTAGAAATTACTTCAGCTATTTTATCTGCTCCTAAGCTTGTTGTTTTGGGGTTTTTGGGTAGCAAAGTCAATGGAGCTGAATCAGTTCTTCAGCAGGCACAGCATGGATATGTGCAATATCTGGTTTTACAAATAACAGGGCATTTTATATTAATTTTTCAGCCATTTGTGGTAGTTCAATTTTAAATAGAAAGGTCGGAAGGTGAGAGCAGTGACTGAACATTGAGAATTGAATATTTCACTTGCTTGATTTACAGCGGAAGCACTTCTTTATGCCCTTGAAGATTCAGAAATATATGGGGGAAGAAAAAGAGAATTAAGAAAGGTGGCTTCTATGAATTAGTATGAAAAGAATGAATAATGTAATCTGATCAGATAGTACGAAAGACTGTGTATGGTAGGTGCTGCTTACACTAAGGTAAAGATGTTCATTTGGAAATAAACCAAAGTCTTTAGACAGGGCATTATGGATCTGCCCTGAAATCAGCTGTAATACTTGGAATAATTTCCATGGCACAGGTTGGGCTATCTATTTAGTCTTCAAAATAATCTTCGATGTGACTGTACTCTCAGTGACACCCCTGCGGAGCAGAGTGAGTAGAAAGCATTGGTCTCTCTCTAGGGAGGTCTCAGCCTTGGGAGTGCCTCTGAATTTAGACTTGGATTTTTAAATCCCCCATCTTGGGTGACAGAGAATAGCATAACAGAAGGAGAAAATAAGAACAGTGTTATCAGAAAGCAAATTCCATGTGGTGTTTGAGTTTAGGAGGAGAACAGCTGACTAATTCAGCCACAGTACAGCCTTACTGTGTACTGTGACAGAAGGCAGTGTGGACTGATCAGAAGGTTCAGGGCAAGAGCCTGAAAAACATTCTGTTTTCACCTATGCAGAGTGAGAAACTTGAGCTGGTGTGTTCAGGATGTGCATATAGCTGGCAGATAATGCGCTCCTACTTCTGTTTTTGTTACCTAGTAGGTAATTAGAAAGTAGTGTAACACAACATGTTCAGGTTGGAAAAGGTGTGGCCTAGACATTTGAAAAGCAAATGAAAATAGCATGATGTCAGTCACTGCATCAAACTTTCTTACCTTTGTTTTTATCAGAGAAAAAAATGTGAGAAAAAATTGGCAGTGTAAAGGGATACTGAAAGAATGACATATTTGTCTGTTAAGTATAAATATGAACAGCTATGGAGATCTGGTGCTATGGTGCTAGGTTTTAACTCCAGTAACATTCATCTAGTGCCAGGAAACACTAGATTTAGTACCTGAGGGATTGCAGTCTCAAATACCTTCTACATTTTGTTTTAATATGCTGCCAAGAATTTAAATTGGTAAAAGCTGGGGACTGACAAAAACTTGATCCCCAAGAGTTTTTCTGGCACAGATTTATCAGGGAATATGGTGCCATTATTTTTATTATAATTTTTTTTTTTGTGGTGGTTGGGGAGCTCATTTATAACTCTGTGACTTCTACTCCCAAATGTATTTTTAAAAATCTTAAATAAACAAAGGGTTTTATTTTCTTGGTGGCGCTAGGAGCTGTCATTCATTTTATATACAATATGCCTACTTGAATTGTAGTTATTTTAACATACTTCTTGAAAAATCAAGAGCAGGCGACAAAAAAAAAAGAAATTAAAAAAGAAAAGAAAAAAGAAAGAAGAAAAAGAAAAAAGAAAACAGAAAAGAGGAAGAAAAAAAAAAAGAAAAGACTGTGGGGTACACATTCCGTCCAAACCACTACCACCCATCTGGTGCCTCTTGTTCCAGTGAGGGATGAACTTACAGTGTGTAGTAAAAATAGGCAACTCTCTTAGGGTCAGTCCTGCTTTCACTGATGTCAACAACCAGCATCTGTTTTGCAATAAATATATAATGGGAGGAAGCATTTCACAGGGAAATATGGGCTTGCAAGGGAAAAGCTGGACTTCTCTTGGAGACAGACATCTAACAAAATAACATTTAACCTTTATTAGACTTGTTTAACCTTTTTATCTTCCCACTAGATAGAAGATCCCTATGATGCTTTGAATGAAAAGCAAAGCTAAGAAACTCCCTTTTATATTGCAATCATAATGGAAGGACCCAAATTAGTTGATTCAAGATCTAGATCAATTTTATAACATTGGATAGGAAGGCAAAGGCGGAATCTATTTTGAATGTGAATTGTGTTGTCTGTTTTGCAGGCCAGAGAAACTTCCTTCCCTTGGAGAGGAGACTGCTAGGATAGTCTTAGTGCTGCTCTGTGAAGGTGAGGAACACCTTCACTCTTGAGCCTTTAAGGTTTATGCAACTGACCTGCAAACCCTTTACACATATCAAACAGGCAACTACAAATAAAGCCTCTGTCAAATAGGTTTAGTCACTGTGGTGGTTTGACCAGGAAGAAGTGGGAATTCTGGGATGCTGTTGTCAAACCAATGGATGTTCTGAGTTTGAGACTGGCACCTGGTGTAGCCAGTGGGGTTTGGACACACCTCCGAGAATACACAGGGGTTAAAAAGCAG